GAGAGGGTTTTGGGTTGAATGGTGTGAATTGTGAAGAAGTAGAGGGTGAAGAAAGAAGAGGGGAAAAATAGAAATGTAAAAAACTAAATCACGTGGTCATGGCCCTACTCACAGGCCACTTGACACTTTCTACTATTCTATTTAGGTCAAGAGTGGGCCTATGCATAAATCCTTTTTTTTTTAATAATTATAGTTTTTTTCTAGAAAAAAAATAATAATCATAGTAATACATACCACTATTAGGGAAATTATTTTCTATAGTTATCGGCATTCTAAGCCAATCAGGAAATAGCAAGTATGGAAGATAGATCTGAAAAAATAGCAAGTATGGAAGATATATAGGTTAAACAAAAAAATCTGAAGTTTAGGAAGGGGTTATAAAATGATCCAGTAAACTTTTATAACCTGAAGTTAATCACAATTTTCAAAAAGAAATTAAAAACTCAGTTTTTGTATCATTACTCAAAAGGACTAAACTCGGTTGTGATGTTTTTGTGGCATTTCTCTATATTTTAAACACATATGCACAAAACAATCATATAGTAGTATAAATATCATAAAAATTTCTATGTTAAATATGTACATGCAGATATGAACCGTCAATCTTTAACAAAAAAAAAATATGAACCGTCAATATGTTTCTATCAAATTGCTTGTATTTGTTATGAAAAAAAAAGAAAGAAGGTTGTCTGGGAAAACCAACACTAATTTCATCTACGAGACTATGATATGTGACTAGCCATAAAAATAGAAGCACCATTTTTTTTTTTGGTTAAAAGGACACCTTTTAATTTAATTTTTACCAAATGATGGTAGCTATTTGCTGGTCGTTAACATATCAAATCGTATATATGAAATACTAAAGTCGAATACACACTCAAACTTTAGCTACTAATAGTAGTGCTCCACATGATTAATGTAGCTCCCGAGTTCGAAAGCAGTGGATTTGTTCAAAACAAAAACTTTAATTACCTCCACTACAATGTATATCATATTAACTATTTTGTTATTTTTACCGCTGAAAAACTCTGATTGTTTTGTATCACTAATTCGGTATAGTAAAACGAGTTAGTGATTCACAAAAACGATTTCTTTATGATCTGATTTTCGATCTAAAAATTTATAGTTAACAAATTAACAACGTTAAATGTTTTTCCCCCACTGATTACGCTTGTTCAATTAAACCGCATCTGATTACTTAATAAAAGATGGACCATTGTGTTGAGTGATATTAATGAAATGACTGGTTACTTATTTGGAATCTGACAAACATAAAAGTTTGAAATTTCATAGTCGAGTACATCTCCACCATCCAAATATGGAAAAAATACTATCTGGCCCCACCCTGCACTACATATGCGTGCGTGTGCTTGAAAATTTAATTTGCATCTGATAATTTTTTTTTTTTTGGTCACCAATTTGCATCTGATATTTTAAAAGTTTTTATTTATTTATAAAATTTATAGAAGTAGCATATACAGTACATCTCAATTACCTTGTACCCATTTTTTTACAGGTTCCGAAGGACATTCGGGACGGGACTGATCGAGCCATACTGCTTAAGATACATAACCAATAAATAGGTTTATTACAATTATTTTACTTTCTAATAAAATTATTACTAATAAATTTTGAGAATCTTCAGTGATCATTACGAAAAAGTCACTATTAAATTTATGTCACAAGTCACGTTTTTATTTTAACCTGTGAACCAAAACAAAAGGTTTCAGTAGGTCAAACTAGCATGGAGACGCATGTTAATTATTTCTGAAACCTAATGGTTATTTATTTATTCTTTTATGGCATCAATGAGTGCACATATAAAATTAATTAAACATACGGGAATAATTATGGCTACGTACCCATATTTTCAGTGTATTGTTTTTTGTTTGTTTAATCCAATAACTCAATAAGAGATTAGGCCTGTCCTTTTGAACGCATACACAATATCATGGTATGCGCTTTGACAGGACGTTTTGACATTTATATATTTCCTCTATATGCAAAAACATTGCGTTCTTTTCACAAGAACATGTAAGAAAGACTCCTATTTTGAGAAAAAAATTGGCTGAAAAACTTTTTATATATTTAGGGTTTCGTGGGTCACTAGTAAGATGAAAAAGGTAAGGGTTTTCTTTTAATCAAATTATGCTCGAAATCGTTTTTTTCTCTCTGTATATTAATATATAATACGTTTTGTCATTATTCCACATAGTTCCAAACTTTCCCAAACAATTTTCTACATCTTTCATTATAGTACACAATCTAGATTTTCGGGTTTACATGAAATAGATAGAAATAAGGTGACACCAAGTAACATTTTTAATCAGTTTTCCTTCCTTT